ACCTATCAGCACTAGACTTCTTTTTGGTTTTGACCTGCTTACGTCATTAGTGACAGAGGTATTCATAGTTCTTTTTTACACTTTCCCAGTAGCTTGTTGAGTGCTTTCTAACCTGGGAGTCTAGTCATCTGGCACTATCTTGTTTCGTTTTCGATTGTTTCACCATAGGGTTTACAAGGTATAAAACACTCAGAAGTGGTTTACCATTGCTGCCTTCTGCACAGTACCAACAAGAGTTAGCTTAAGCATCCCAGCTATTGTCTCTTAAAAATTCTCCACCTCTGAGCCCTTCAACTACTGCTGGGATCCATAGCAGCCAGTCAGGAGGTTCTCCACTTCCCATCACTATTAGAGATATCCATTCTCTTCTGCTCCCTAAGGGGGTGGATGCCACTTAGTCTGTCTCTGCTTTGACCCTGCTAGGATCCCAGCCTAATGAGAAAGTCTGGCCTCCTGGCAGCGTTGTCCTCAGATTGCCTGCCACTCAACCCCCCTCACTATGTTAATGTGTGCATACAAGACAAGGATATAATGCTATTGCTTGCTTGCTAGTTGCAAAGTCATGTCTGACCCATCACGAGCCCATGAACTCCAGGCCTTCCTCTCATCCACCATCCCCCAGAGTCCACTTAAGCTCACCCCGACTGCTTCAGTGACTCCATCTAGTCACCTCATCCTCTGCTGTCCCCTTCTTCTTTTGCCATCAATTGTTCCCAGCATTAGGGTCTTCTTCAGTGAGTCCTTCCTTCTCATTAGGTGGCCAAAGTTTTTGAGTTTCTTCTTCAGTATCTGGCCTTCTAAAGAGCAATTGGGGAAGTAGCTAATACTTCATGGTAGGATATTTGGGCAGAAATACCTGAGATAATAAATATACTAACATGTAAATGCAACCCTTACAATTGTTGATACAAAGTAGATATGGTAAGATATATTACTCTTCCCCAAATAACATGTTAACTTTCTGTCGGTCATGTTCTGGGCCTAAAATACTGGTCCCTGGCAATCTAATTACTCTATACATTGCAAAAGTGATGTTTTCCAGATTCCTGATTCTGCCATTTATGTTTATATTGATATTTACATTGCTTACAGGGGGATTGCAGGACAAGAGAAGAAGCAATGATTTTTGGAATAGCACTATGTGATAATGGATTTATGCACCATGGTAAACAATGCTCATTCAGTGACTACATGTTTTGGAGCCCTGACTCTTGCACTAAATACCATGCATATAGTTCAGTCATACCTGCTGTACTTTAGCAGTGAGAACCCTTATTTCAGAGTTACCTTTGTGTCTCACATGGCTAAAAGGTTATTATCTAAGCCTGGTCGTATCAAGGATGCAGTGTTTCTTGTAACTGCCCTACCACAACCCATCAGGAAATTCTTCTGAGCGAACCAAGTTGAAATACATTGGAGCTATTCAGCAGGTATCATTTCATAGAAGCAAATTTGATGGGCATCATTTGGTAGAAGCAAACACAGGAATGGCTGGAACTGAGGTTGCTAAATATCCAGAAGTGGCTACTATAGGCATCTGTTCACATACTGCCATCCATTTAGCAAGCCTATGCTTGCCATACTGCTCCTTCAGTCACCCCTGCACAGGTTGCTGCCATACAATTCCAACAAATGTGGAGTATTTCTTCCAGTCAGTGGCATCTTGTTACCCTCTGAATTTTCTAGTCTGCCATCTCTGGTGTTGCCTGTAAATGAATTTCTTTGGGAATTATGAACGAAGAGTGTGCGGTGGATTTTTGCTAAATAAAAGAATTAGTATGTGCACTGAGCATAGTAATAAATGCTTTGAAGCCTTTATTTATGAAGGCATCAAAGCAGCTTGGATACAACAAAATGCAAACTTCTATTACATTTACATGAAAAAATACATTTTTTAATCACTGAAATGTATTAGTACCTGACAAGTATATATATCACCAAATCTAAAATTTGACATGGGAAGGGGAGGTATGGATAAACATGGAATTGACATTTGGTTGTTAGACTCAGTCAGAATATGCAATTACTTTGCAGTATCAAAGAGAAATAATTAATATTATTTGTGCATCAAACAGTGTTGGAAAAAAGTGAATTCAAAGATGAACCACTTCTCTTTCGTTTTTTTGCGGATGAAGAAATGGAAGGCTCAAACATGAAGCACATGCATATGAAACATGATTTAAAAGTAATAGAAAATGTAATAGCCAAATCACTACTGGTAAGTGGACTGTACATCTCTCTGTGTATATATTTTGGCATCTTCTGAACTGAAGAAGGTTCCTCCTGCATTACTGCTTATTAGCTTAAATCCCATGGCGGCTGCAGTCTTGTCCTAATCTCTGAAAGTCATTTTGTATGGTATTTTTTAGCAAAAGAGGCAATCTAGTTGCAGAATCTATTGCAGAGACAGACAGAAACATATCACTGTGTGTTGGCTAGAGACAATGACATAGTTCTGCAATACAGTACAGCAATCTTTTCTGCTGGTCATGGTTGCCAGGGCCAATGGTCACAGGAGCAGGATGTTAGGTGGGCATACTTTAAACAAAACATAATGTCTTCATTATTTGATGTTGATAACATGTATTTAATCTGCTTGTTTAAAAGTGCTTGCAATATTTAATTTTGTATAATGTCAACTTCTTTTTTCAGATTAAATCAACTGAAGGAAGCTATGGTTTTGGACTGGAAGACAAAAACAAAGTACCAATAATTAAAATAGTAGAGAAGGGATCAAATGCTGAGGTGATGCAAACTAAGTCACAGTCATGTACTTCATAGATATTTCTGGCTGTATACATACTATTGTATCTTAGAGAACCCTCCTAGACAGGTTTCCCAGTCATTTCATAACTCTGCACAGGAGTACCTGCCTCAGTTATTGAATGCCATAATTACTGACAGGTTTTTTGTAAGTAGTTTTGCTTACAGTTCTTTATTTCAGTGTGATGGAGCCAATGGTGCAACACTACTACTGTTGTTGCACACAGGGAAACCAATTCTTGTGCAACAACAATAGTACTTAATAACACAAGGGGTTTCCTAGGAAACTCGGTGCACTAGTAAGTACTATGGATTTTGTGCAAGCACTGATTTCCACTAGTGAGATAGAAACATAGAAACAGAGCGAGTCAGACGGGGTCTCCCGGGCCATCTAGTCTGACCCCTGGCTCCAGCCAGCTCTGCTCACGACATGCCCACCATGTGCATGTCCAGCCTATCTTTGAACACCCTCACCAATGGGGCCTCAGCCACCTCCCGTGGAAACCCATTAAAATGTTTAAAATGATACTGGAAGCACATGTGCATGATGATGTACTTGTCACATTATAGGGCAATTGCTATGTATTATACAGATTTTGTGAGAATGCAATTATTTAGTATATAGAATATAAGCTTTCAGAATAATCCCTGGTGTATTAAATTGCTTTAGTATATGCCATGTTCTGTTACCATGTTTCTCATGGGAAAACCACTACTGTAGGCAGAACTGCAAACAGCTGTGCATGGTTTACTGATAGTAGGTATATAAAAGAGAGGGGCAGATTCATGAGTTCTTGACCCTAGCTGCTTGAGAATCTGGGGAATGAACTGTTGTTAGGGGTGTGCAAAGTGGTTTGGAAGTGTGTGAATGTGGGTGGGGGTGGGGTGGTGGCTGTAAGAACTGCCTGGAAGTTCTGTAAATCTACCTAAATCCATCCAGTGATGTTTTTGGATTGACAAGATGCAGAAGAGGATATGTTTTTACCAAGTTTGAGAGCATTGTTCTAACATCATAAACACGAGTACAGTGCAATTCTTTGTTTGTCTATTCAAAAGAAAGCCCCAAGGAGTTAATTGAGCCTTACTTCCCAGTGGTAAGTAAATACAGCATTCAGTCTTATGTCCCTGATAATAGGTAAAAGAGTGTGCTTAAAGTTTTATTATTTATTAAAAGCTTTTGTATGCCATCCTATTCTACAAGATCTCAGGATGGCTTACAATATTTAGAAAGACAGTTAAAACAACAATTTCAATAAATAATAAAACAGAACAAAACAATAAATCGCAAAACAAACAGAGCAACTAAACTTAAAAACTTTTAAATTTTAAAATACTGTTTAAATAACAAGTTTTTGGCCTGGTGCTGAAAAGTTGGTTGGTGCCAATTCTCTGGGGAGTACATTCCAGAGTCTGGGAGCCCCAGCAGAGAAGGCCCTATTCTGAGTTGATTACCTTTTTACCTCTCTTAGAGAGGGTTCCCAGAGTAGGGCTTCTCCCATAGATCTTAAGGGGTGTGAGGGCATATAAGGAAGGAGACGTTTCTTCAGGTATCCTGGTCCCAAGCTGTTTAGGGCAATACAGATCAAAACCAGCACCTTGACTGGGCCCGGACTTCAACTGGAAGCCAGTGGAGCTGGTAGAGGACCGGTGTTATGTGAGAGTAATGGCCGGTCCCCATCAGCAGCCTGGCAGCTCTATTCTGTACCAGTTGCAATATTCGGACCGTTTTCAAGGGCAGCCGCATGTAGAGCGCATTGCAGTAATCCAAGCGGGAAGTTACCAGAGCATGTATCACTGTTGCTAGGGAGTGCTCATCCAGGTAAGGACGCAGCTGATGGATCAGTCGAAGTTGTAGGAAAGCACTCCTTGCCACCACTGCCACCTGGAACTCCAGTGACAGCTCGGGGTCAAGGAATACTCCCAAGCTGCAGACCCTGTCCTTTAGAGGGAGTGCAACCCCATCCAGAACTGGGTCAAAATCACCTATCTGGAGACCCACACTGCCCACCAACAGGACTGGATTGAGCTTCAGTTTATTGGCCCTCATCCAGCCCATTACCTTGGTCAGGCACTGGTTCAGTACAGCCACCGCCTCACCTGGAACAGATGTAAATGAGAGGTAGAGCTGGGTGTCATCAGCATACTGATGACTCTGCAGCCCAAACTTCCTGATGACTTCTCCCAGCGGTTTCATGTAGATATTAAATAGCATGGGAGACAAAATAGAGCCCTGCAGAAATCCATGGCAAAGCTGCCATGGTGCAGAGCCATAGTCCCCCAGCACCACCATCTGGAATTGGCCCGCCAGATAGGAGTGGAACCACTGCCACGCAGTGCCTCCTACTCCCAACCCAGCCAGCCTATCCAGAAGGATACCATGGTCGATGGTATTGAAAGGCACTGAGAGGTCCAGGAGAACCAACAGGGACAAAGTTGGATTTGGAAGTTTTCTCTTAGCTTCTCATTAGAAAAAAGAATAATGCAGGAACTAGGGCTTTGGTGATGAGGTTATATTCAGCTAGGTTAAATTTTAGAATAAATTATTTGCCAAATGAGCCTGGATATCAAGGATTGCTGTGATATGGTAGGTCAAGAGACCAAATCACTTGACCTAGGTCAAAAGCCCTAATCACTTGAAGATGCCCTTTGGCTGCGCTGCATTCTGATCTATATCCACAATTTTTTAATTCAGTAAATTTAGTATTTTCAAATGCATTTCTCTCTAATGTGATTTGTGGTATACGGAAAGGCCATTCAAAATAATCTAATATTATGAATTGCTTGCTATCAGCACTTGTTAAGACTTGGATAGAAATAAACATATGTATGTTTCCATGTTTCCATATGTATGTAATCCAGAGTTTATAAAACTTGCACTTTTAGCACAAAAATGGTGTAGATTTCAAAATCATGGGTATAAGGTACATGGGAATTTTTAAAATGTCTCCCTCTGTGTAAGCAAAGGCTATTTTGTACATCATTGGTTATGTTGAACTAATTGCTTGTGCCTGTTTCTTGTTTTCTTACCTAGATGGCAGGCCTGGAAGTTGGGAAAAAGATCTTTGCCATTAATGGTGACTTAGTTTTTCTGAGACCCTTCAGTGAAGTGGATAGCTTTCTGAAAACATGTTTAAGCAGTAGAAAGCCCCTCAGGGTACTTGTGAATACAAAACCCAGGGAGTAAGTTGTTTCTTTGGTTTGAGGAGTTGCAAAGATGTTAATCAAATTACATTACAAAGCCATGCTCATAAATGCATTTAAGCCAGAAGGAAAGGGGAAAAAAAAAAAAAACCTTGTTTGCTAAATTTTGAATCCCTGGAATAGACAGTAAAGGTTACTGGGTGAAAAAACTGACCCACTGGGAGTTTCAATAATTTAAGTTATTGTATTTATCCAGTGCTGTTCCTGAGTTATAATAATTGATTAATTTCTGTGGTATTGAAAGATTGGGCTAATGCATGTACTAAACAATTAGGTAGATATTTGTATGCTTCACCTAGATTCTGTGTTTAGCAATCAAAATGTATCAGGAAAATGTGAATAAACTGATCTTTTGTTAATTGTTAAAGGCATGTTATCTGTCAACAATGAAGAAATATTAAGGTACATTATCACATATGTTTAGACAAAAAATGTCTTTCTGTCTAAACATCCATCAGATTGTGCCCTTAATTAAACATTTAAAGAAAGAATTTTCTGAGCTGTATAACCCCTGTTCCTTGCTTCTCTGCATTAGAATCAATGCTTATTCCACTTCCCTCCTAAAAAGTTAATATTGATTAATAGACTATGTAACCTATCCTTTGGGTCTTCTAGAAAATTTTAAATATAATTTATATAAAATTTGATGAATGAAATAACACATTGGCATTGGATTTTTATCTTGTGCTCAGAACTGTGAAGATCATTGACTCTGTGGATGGTCTTGGATTCCAGATACGGGGCTTTGGTCCTTCTGTTGTCCATGCTGTTGGAAGAGGTAGGATTCATGATTTAAATAGGCCGTAGCTATGAATATTTTTTCAAACATTAAAATATGTATAAAACTGTAGGAAGATTTGTTGACTCACATGCTTGATGAAAGATATTTGCTTTAAATTTGATGGAATGATACTATATTGTATCATGAGTCATGACACATTTTCAAGCAAAGATCATTCTGGGTGGTAACGGGGAGAGCAACTGCTTTCATGTTCTGTTTGTGGGCTTTCCAAAACTATCTGGTTAGCCACTGTGAAAAACAGGAGCATTTGAGTAGATGGACCTTTGGTTTGATACACAGGACTCGTAAGAGCTCCAAATTTCCATTCCAAAATTTCTGTGGTAATGAAACATTGAGCTAATGCATGTGTTGAGCAAGTAGTTAAACATTTTAAAGGTATTTGTATGGATTCTGTGTTTAGCAGTCAAAATGTTAAGGTAAATAAATAGAAAGTTGCTAGTACGTACAACAGCTACTGGGCAGGATAAAAATCTTACAAACAAATAAGCAAATAAACTGTGGTATACTGTGCCTTTGTCAGAACTTATTTTACACTAAGATGCAATTCTTAAGATAATTATTAAGTTCTTCATGGTCTCTGTGCATCACACATATGGGCTCTGCATGTGTGTGGAGCCTGTTGTCAGGAAGATTTAATAGCTAAGACTTTTGGGCAGGACCCCCTCCCTCACCCTAGCATCTGTTATAAAGGCAGGAACTGCTGCCCTTAACCTCAGTTCTTCAACTGTCTTCAGTGCCTTGGGAAGTTTTTGTTTTCCTCTGTGAGCTCTTGGGCATTTTCCCTTCCTCTTTGTGTTGTTTTTCTGTTAGAAAGAAAAAGAGGCCTGCTACTTCTGTAACAACCCATGAATGACCCACCTGAATTTGGGCTTTCACATGTAACACTAATCCATTGTGTTCCACAGTTCACAGTACACAACCCAACAACAAAGTATGCGTTCTCCTTCTGTGCTTGTTCTTCGTTAACCCATAGTTTTGAGTTTGTGTGTAATAGCAACCCACAACTTAACAAACCAGGGTTAATTAGTCATTTCATGTAAACTAAGTCAATATGACTTCTCTAAAACACCTTTTCAATAAAATAACACCATGATGGCATTACAGAATATCATTCTATAGGACCATCACATAGCTGTCCTGTGTATTTGCAAGACCTGCATACCCCAATAAAACAATAATATGGGAGACATACTTGAGTGTGCCAAAGAAATAAAAGGATGGTGTGTGTGGTGGGAAGGTGGGAATTCAACATCTTGCTCTAGGGACACGCAAATGCTATAATTGCATGTGAATTCACTGCTAGTATATGGTCAACAGGGTGTGCATGATTTATTGGCCTATCAAGGAAACTGATTCCAGATGCCTTCTCTTTCCAACAGATTCTCAGCCTCAAACAGTCTAGTTTGCGAAGAAGAATCCTCATTAAAACGCCTTCTACTGTCCACTGTAACACAAAAGGGTCCCATTAGGCTTTTAAGGATCTTATATAATTTCCCCCATTTGTGTTTTGTAGATTGTCACATGTTGCCTGCTCCATCATCTGCTAATATAAAAATATAAAAATTTACGGACATTTCTCTAGCAGATAACTTTTTTTAGGGAAGCATTAAATCAATGAGCATAGTACACAAACATTTCCACACAGCAGAGGCTGAAGAAAAATATCAGATGTGTAAAATGCAGAGTTTTTTTTTAAATGGCATATAAAATACTGGTTCTTTATGCAACTTTTGTAAGAACAGTTTCATAAAATTATGGAAAGTTTAAAAAAATCTGCAAATCCACATCACTGGTTCTCTACCAATTCCACATGACAGTTTTATAGAAATTTGGTTTCAGTGTGATCTCTTGCAGATTTTTTTTTACATCCCTACTCTGCATTAGGGTAATAATGATTGATTTCACAATGTTTCTGAACTGACCAGTAATTACACAAACAAGCATGTTGGGGATGCTTTTTTTTCTTTTCCTTCCCAGCAGGAAACTTCTAATTTGGAGCCTTTTCTGTTTTAAAGGAACTGTGGCAGCAGCTGCTGGTCTCCACCCTGGACAGTGCATAATCAAAGTGAATGGAATTAATGTCAGCAAAGAAACTCATGCAAGTGTTATTGCCCATGTCACAGCCTGCAGGAAATACAGACGCCCAATGCATGTAAAAAATGCCGCTTATTTTATTGTAAATGCTGTTGGGTTTTTTTTTTTTTTTGTATTTTAATTGTTCATGTCTGTCCCTTCTGGGTAATATGTGCAAAAATAAAATTAAGGTAACAGTTCACAGTCAAAAACTGCTACCTGTTTAACCCACACACTGAAACTGACTTCCTCTGAATTCAAAGGAAATCAACTTCCAAAAAGTTCAGCTATAGGGATAACTGAACAGCCTGAATGTTGTGTTTTATTTTTTATTTACTTTCTATTCCACCCAATCACTGAAGCTGTCTAAGTGGCAAACAGCAATAATAAATACAATAAAATACAATACTGAATAAAACATCATGCAATTACATTAAAAATTAAACCCACATTTATAACTGCATTTTACAACCAAATTTTTATAACTACATATTATCCCTTTTCATCACTCAGAAGAAACTAGCAGAGTTTCTGATGTGATAAATGCAGGGTAGAAACTGAACTGAAAGGTGAAAGACATATTCCTATAAGAATATACATAGATTTACCTATTACTTTGATATATATTTCCCTATTACTATCTACTTTCAGTAAACCTTTCTGGAAAGAATTATTTGACACTAGACAGGCAAAACAGAGGACTCCCAACAAAGGGCTTCAAAACAAAATTTCTTACACTTTGGAGTTATTCTGATGGCCTGTAGTGTCTTTTAAGTGCACTACATCAGGAACTTTTCTGACAGAGTAAAGATTTTAAGATTTTAACAGTCAAGTATTGCATCGGTGCACCCTACCAGACACTCTCAACATTAAGACAGGGAGGCTGGTGGCTCGTGTCAGTGAGTTCCTGATGTACCACGGTTTGTATTTTGAATTTTATAAGAACTATCCATGGTACATCATGGTAGTGAACCTATTTTTGGGGGTGCTATTCAGCAACATGGGTAGCTCCTATAACGCTCAGGCTAGGGTGTGCAATGGATCTGGAGCCCAACTGACATAGGCGTTGCCAGTCTTCCTTGCTGGGAGTGTTGAACAGAGATTATTTCTTCTTTCACAAGTATACACAAGCCATCAAAAAGTCAGCAGGATGTTACAATATGAAAGAAAACACCATTTATTCTAATGTATCATGATCATATATATGCCAATTTCACTCTTCTAGGGTAAACAAAAAAAGATTTGGAATTCTTCAGGAATATATTTTCTCATGTTATGGAAAGGGAAATTAGCTTAAAACCCTGTTTAATATTTCATATGGAAGCAATACACATGCATTCTACTTCTTGGTGTTCTTCCTTAACTTTCATTCCATTCCACACATTTCCCTTTGGAAGCTCTGTTTTCAATTCTGTCAGAACACAAGCTATTTTTATAGTTTATCCAGCTGTATTTAAATGGGAGTGATAGACATTTCTTTAGGGAGAGAAGGATTCTGCAACCCAGCATGTTACTGATTTACTTTTTAAGTAAAATATTTTTGAAATTATTTTTTACTGTCAGACCTTACAACAATGATTCTATATAATTAGTAAGAGCAAATTTTAGAGTAGAACAAGTGAGGAAAAGTTACTTTGGCTAGAGCCATCTATTGTTAACTGTAGCAGTGTTGTTGTAACAACTAACAAATAGCCACAGATCTCTACAGCTTTAGCAAGTTCCTCCAAATACGTTTTTTTGAAATTATTTGGGGATAACACACAGTGAAATCATGTGCACCTCTTTTCACTGGAGAAACTGAGGTGTTTGTAAATATTGAAGTCACAATCTATTGCTATTTATGCAAAATTTCTGAAGCTTTGTTCAAACTTTACTTTGTAGATTGGACTAAAACTCTGACTTTGAATTATGATCGTTAGTATTTAACAAGTGGGCCATGCAACAGATGTCTTTCTGCAGTCAGTGCTCTTCTCATTTATCTTTTTGTTTTGCTTTTTAAATGGCTGTTTGCACTCCAGTCAGTAACAGTTTCAACAATTTTCCTCTTATTCTTCAGCTTCTTTCTAAATCTGATGGCATCATGTTGTTGTTAGTCACAAAGTCATGTCCGACCCATCGCGACCCCATGGACAACATTCCTCCAGGCCTTTCTGGCCTCCACCATCCCCTGGAGTCCACTCAAGCTCACACCAACTGCTTCAGTGACTCCATCTAACCACCTCATTCTCTGTCGTCCCCTTCTTCTTTTGCCATCTATTGTTCCAAGCATTATACTCTTCTCCAGGGAGTCCTTCCTTCTCATTAGGTGGCTAAAGTATTTGAGTTTCATCTTCAGTATCTGGTCTTCTAAAGAGCAGTCAGGGTTGATCTCCTCTAGGACTGACCGGTTTGATCGCCTTGCCAGTTTCAAGCCAACTTTTGCACTCTCCTCCTTCACCCGCATCAAGAGGCTCTTTAGTTCCTCTTCACTTTCTGCCATTAGAGTGGTATCATCTGCATATCTGAGGCTGTTGATATTTCTCCCAGCAATCTTAATTCCAACTGGTGATTCATCTAGCTCTGCCTTTCTCATGATGTGCTCTGCATATAAGTTAAGTAAGCAGGGCAACAGTATACAGCCTTGCTGAACTCCTTTCTCAATTTTGAACCAATCAGTGGTTCTGTGTCCAGTTCTCACTGTTGCTTCTTGATTCGCATATAGGTTTCTCAAGAGACAAATAAGATGGTCAGGTACTCCCATCTCTTTAAGAACTTGCCACAATTTGTTGTGATCCACACAATCAAAGGCTTTAGCATAGTCAATGAAGCAGAAGTAGATGTTTTTCTGGAACTCCCTAGCTTTCTACATGATCCAGCGTATGTTGGCAATTTGATCTCCAGTTCCTCTCCCTCTTTGAAATCCTGCCTGTACTTCTGGTAGTTCTCAGTCCACATACTGCTGGAGCCTAGCTTGTAGAATTTTGAGCATAACTTTGCTAGCATGTGAAATGAGTGTAATGGTGGGGTAGTTTGAACATTCTTTGGCATTGCCCTTCTTTGGGATGGGAATGTAAACTGATCTTTTCCAATCCTGTGGCCACTGTTGAGTTTTCCAAATGTGCTGGCATATTGAATGTGGCACTTTTACTGCATCATCTTTTAAGATTTTGAATAGATCAGCTGGAATACTGTAGCCTCCACTAGCTTTGTTGTTGCTCAGACTTCCTAAGGCCCATTTGACTTCACATTCCAGGATGTCTGGTGGAGGTCAGTGACCACCCCATTGTGGTTATCAGGGACATTAAGCTCTTTCTTGTATAGTTCCTCTGTGTAATCTTGCCACCTCTTCTTAATCTCTTCTGCCTCTGTTAGGTCCCTGCCATTTTGGTCCTTTATCATGTCCATCTTTTCATGAAACATTCCCTTCATATCTCCAATTATCTTGAAGAGATCTCTGGTCCTCCCTATTCTATTGTTTTCTTCTATTTCTTTGCACTGTTCATTTAAGAAGGCATTCTTATCTCTTCTAGCTATTCTCTGGAATTCTGCATTCAATTGTTTGTATCTTTCTCTTTTTCTCTTGCCTTTCGCTTCCCTTCTTTCCTCAGCTATTTGTAAGGCTTCCTCAGACAGCCATTTTGCTTTCTTGCATTTCTTTTTCTTTGGGATGGTTTTAGTTGTTGCCTCTTGTTCAATGTTGCGAACCTCTTGTTTGACCACATCCAGCTTGCCTTGATTCATGGATCTTACATTCCAGGACTTTCTGTTCACCACCAGATACATCAGCAACTGAGTGTCCTTTTGGCTTTGACCCAGTCGCTTCATTCTTTCTGGTGCTACTAGTACTAGCCCTCTGCTTTTCCCCAGGAGCATATTGGGCACCTTCCGACCTGAGGGGCTCATCTTCAGGTGTCATATCTTTTTTCCTTTTGGTACTGTCCATGGGGTTTTGATGGCAAAGATACTGAATGTGTTGCCATTTCCTTCTCCAGTGGATCACGTTTTGTCAGAGCTCTCTGCTATTACCTGTCTGTCTCGGGTGGCCCTGCATGGCATAGCTCATAGCTTCATTGAGCTACGCAAGCCCCTTTGCCATGAGAAGGCAGTTATCCATGAAGGAGGATGGTGTCATACAACAAATTAAATTCGGCCACATAATGGCATGACTGTGAGCAAATGAAGCTGTGTTACCGTCACTAAAAATGGGTGTCTGGGGGAGGGAGCAGGGAGAAGCAAAGACAAGGATGCTGTGGTTTCCTTCTTTTCCATGCAGTGTTGCAGCAAATCAGTCTGACTTTGCAATATAGTGCTGGAAAGGGCAATGAATTTATCTGGTTGCCCTGGTAATAAAAGGAATGCAGGAGCAGTTTCTTTGTCAGCCTCCGCAGCACAGCATGGCAAAATAGAGGGTAACAGGGACACTGAACAGGTAGTGTGTATTACAGTTTTATCAGACATATAAGCTTTTTATCCTTCTTATTGTCCTATAGCAAGACTCTATTCAGTGGGTATACAGCAGCGTTGAAAGTGCCCAAGAAGATCTTCAGAAAACAAACTCAAAACCCTTGGGTGATAATGGAGGAGACTCATTTGACTGCAAAGTTGAAGGTGGGATCATTTTTCACTTTCTGTTATTAAGCTTTGGCTGATACACTTACATGAATGCAGGAAAAAAATGCCCATGACTAAGGAGGAAAGTTGTGCAGCTCTCTTGAAGTGAAATGTATGGCACCAGATATGAGTAGATACTGCGCATCATATTACAGAAAGAGATATATGAACTTTGCTTTGAGTCATATGTGAAGAACAGAAAACAGATTTGAGCCAACAATATTCTTTCAATGAAATATTCAAACTGATGTAATGGTAGGAAGTATGGTTTCCTTTGAATATGAACTTACTTGCAGTTTTATTGGAAATGGCACTGCTGTATACCAAGTTAGGACTAAGAATATTCAAAAAGACAGTGAGAAATTTTGTAGAATGTTACATTTGTAGGATATGATACAAGATAATAGCCATTCAAAGAAGAAAATGAAAGGTAATCCTTTGATTCCTTTTGATGGCATTTCCCCTAGTTATAGTAGATCTGGTATTATATTACTTCTTGATATTGTGATTGCAATACTTGTTGCTAGATAGTATATACGAGTATAATAAGTCCTGTTTAGATAAATTCACTCAGAATTTGGTACTGTATGGTGGAATTCAAAGGAAGTTGAGAATGCTCATGTCAACTTTGTTTCTTCCTGGAGTTCTTGTACAAAAAAATAAGATTCTATCAATGAACAGATAACAGAATATAACTTGTCTGACAATTCATGAAACACAGAACAGACATAACATAATCCATACATTCCTATTACTTATCAATATAAGTGTAGTTAACTTTTTCAGTTGTGCTCTTGGTTTTCAGCATTCCTTCTTGGAAACTGTACCCAGAGTGCTCTTTTATTTTAGTTCCATATAAGATTAGCATAGGAAAAATAATATTAGCAGGTTTTAATTCTAATATACCATTAGTTTAGACTTCCTCTGGCAAAATCAAACCTTTGTACTATCCTGCAGAGAGTTAATGGTACTTGACCTGATTAAAGTTATTGACAGTTAGGAGTCATGACCATCATCCTGGAAAGAAAGGGTGGTGTGTGGGGGGGTAATTATTTTTGATGCTTTAATTAGCATCAACCTTTATTCTTTAGTGAAATATGTGAAAATGGCCACCTCTTTTTGTCCCATCTAAGCATCATTGCCTTCACCTTCATGATTCACTAGGAGTATCCATGCCCAAGAAACATGGCTGACTCACTAAATTAGGTTTGTTTGTCCTTAGTAATGTTAGCTGATATTACCGCTACTGGTTATCATTCTAATATAATATTCATTATTTGACCTGTTTGGGATCATATAGAGAAGGAGAAGGAAGCCTGAACCAAGGGAAAAATTATTTATTTGGATTATTTATAATCTTTCTACTGAGATTCTTGAGGTGTCTTAAAATTCATTTAATTATAACAAAATTAGATTAAGAGTTGTTAGGGAGCAGCTAAGGAGTGTACAGATTTTTTTCCAGATCTCAGATGTTTTAGCTACGACTTAATTTTTGCATCTCTGAGCCATGGCAACTGGTGGCCTGTTTCTGGACCTCTGGTCCATACCAGATCTTGGGGAGAATTACCTTGGCTTGGAAATAACTGCCAGAGCAGCCATATGTTGTTTGCTCATAGGCAAGGTGAACCAGTGGGGTTTATTTGGTTTGGTTTTGTCATGAAAGCTGAAACAGACATCAATTGATTTCATTGAAATCAATAGATTTAAGCAGGCTTTTATTTCTATTGGATTGTGCTCAATAAGCAACAACTAGGGATGCTTACACTTATGTTTCCCATTACTGTGATTACATCTTTAGTTTGGCAATGTATTTTTTAAAAAGGCAGAATTTTAGAGACACAAGTGCACTGCAACCTCTTTCATCTAATTTATTCACCCAATTTAATCTTTAATATAATTAAATGGAATATGTTTAATGCTGATGGATAGATGATTTAGATGTATTAGTCAATTTAGAAAAACTACATAGAAAGCAAACTAAGTTATTTTTTTCTTACATTTGATTTTAGAAGTAATAGACACATTTAATACTATGGCAATAATTGATGGACGGAAGGATCATGTCAGTCTGACTGTTGATAATGTTCACCTGGAATATGGTGTAGTTTATGAATATGACAGTACTGCTGGAATAAAATGTCATGTTTTGGAGAAGATGATTGAACCAAAGGGGTTTTTCAGCTTGACAGCAAAGGTATGACACATAAAATATTTATTTAATTCTTTATTGTCCCTTCTGTCAGTGAAGCAGCGTATCTTTATGAGCTTTAGGGCTAGGAAAGTCTTCTTCCTGAGACTCTGAAGAGCTTTCTTGAGAACTTTCTGTCAATTGGAGAGAGGAAGGATTATAGATCTTTCTCATATAGAATATAAAAATAATTAAACGGCAGATGTGGTCAAATAAAGTAGATCCCTCCCTCTCTATTTATAGATATGATTATAGTAATTTCATTTCAGGTCGATTTTTTGTCATTGACCTTTGTTCTGTTGATGATTATGGGGGCTACTATTTATTAATTTATAACTTTGTGAGAAAAAAATATCAAGTGAAGTAACAAATAGCTACTAAACATAATAAATGCTGAAAAGGTTAAATATCCACAGTCTCCTAATTTACTTCTATTCTTTTGCTGCTTTTTCTTCTGTTACTGCTTCAGAAATTGGATCATTTCATCCCCTGTCTTTTGTTCCACCCCCCACCCTGATTTCTATTTTAATAGCAAAATTTAAAATGGAATTGGACAATAATTTTGTAGACAAGAAAACAATAATGTATTTGAAATTAAACAGATATTACATTGTTTTCTTCATTCCCAGTGTGCTTTATATTGGTTTCACCCTACAAAGGTGTTTTTGAGATCATTTGGTGAAACTATAGCAAGGAGAATGAGGAAAGAGCAGTTGAGATGGCAAGAAGGAATTAGGAAGGAAGAGCCAGGTGAGATCAGGCTGGGAGAAAAGAGAAATGAATATGATGGCCAGTTGAGACTATGGATGGAGAGGCAAGGCTGTAGCATGAAAGCAGTGGCAGTGGGGCCAGTTTGTGAAGCAGTTCGAGTGAGGCCAAGTTTAGGGTAATAGAAGGGAGAAGAAACATGCTCAAATGTCCTGATGTGGACTTAAGGGTAGCAATGTGGATGTGTATAATATGACCCATTTCCCAGTTTAAAATGTGTGAAGAGAACTGCGAGGCTGCATGAATTGGCCCCACACCCACATCAGGATATGAGATAAATATGCTCCACCTTTGTGCCTCCCCCATCCTGCCCACAATGAGTGGTTTTAGTCACTCTTCTGGTGGGTCTTCTGAGAAATGGCTGCACTGGAGGAGTGCTGGCAGAGTATCTGAGGAATGCTATTGGTGCATCTTTCAAACTGGTAGCATATCTTGTGTTGTGATGGATAATTGTCAAGTCCATGACATAGGCAATGGGCAGCTAGAGTCAGGATGCTTTGCATGAGGTTCAGGGGGTCAGTGTCATGCATGAAGCTCCGACAGAAACAGTGACTCATGAGGAGACCTTGCACTTGGCACCCAGTGCCCAAGAGTCGACCCCACAACCCAATGCAGGGACGGCTGAGCCAGCTACTGCGTCTTCCTCTGAGCCCCAGCACGTTGAGCAAATGCCTGGACCTTTATCAGAGACAGAGAGTCATGAGAAAGAGGGAGCTGCAAGTTCTACTCAGAAGGAGGCAGAGAAAACTGCCTCTTCCCCCCTGAGCCAGAAACAGAAGGCACAGTAGGTGTCGTGGATTTTTGAAGAGCCCAGAACAAACGTATTTTACGCCTATTTGAACAGCTACAAAGTAGACTGCATAAGAGGGAGGAAAGGCGTGACTTGGGAGAATGATCCCACATGGGCTCAGGACGAGAAGCCATTATAGGGCTGACATCTGCTTAGCAAGGACCGCTATTAAGGAACTTATCTATAGAATTGTAAATCTTGTAGACAATTAGCATTAAAGGACTTTAGTTTTATTGCTCTAGAATGTGTGGAATGTTTACATACCGGGCTGCCCCTCATGACAGTATGTCAGCCCTATAAGCCCTTCCACACACAGCAGAGCAAAAAAATTTTTTTCTCTTCAGCACTACTCTACCATCCAGAAGAAATTTCGTTTTAACCTTCTGCCTTTTATAAACAACAACAATGCAGTCGCCTGCTCCCACCATTCAAGAACTTCAAGCTTTAAGAGACGAAAATTCCTTCTTGAGAAGTAAATACAGTGAAGCAACTTAACAACTGGATTTAATGAAAATTGAACTAGATAATCTTCAAGCCAAACTACAATCAGCTACTGCTTCAAAGCAAAATCAAGAATTAACACTACGCAGATGCCCTCTTGAAGCCCCCCCCCCCCGAAATACGACAGCAACAAAGAAGGATTTACAACTTTCAAAGCACAATGTGAACTCTACATCAATTTACGCCTTCCTGACTTCCCCAATGAAAAGATGAAGGTAGAATTTCTAATAAATCAACTCATGGGGGTGCCTGCCCGCTGGGCAACTGCGAGGCTTATCACTCAAGACCCTATACTAAACGACGCTAATCTATTTCTTAATGCCCTGGGGGAGTTCCTTGGTGTTGAAGCTTGCAAGGAAATAGCCATACGGGAGATTAAGCATCTGAAACAGGGGCATACCTCAGCCACTGACTACACCACCAAGTTCCAGCTCCTCATGAATGATTTAGGGTGGAATGAGGAAGCCTTGATGGTACAATACTGCGAGGTCTTGAGAGAGGCGGTTTTGGATGATTTGTCATGTACTTCAATGCCAAAAAACTTGCAGGAGTTAATGACTTTAATGATCCAGATAGATGCACGGCTCAGTGAAAGAGCCCACGCTAAGCAGGAATGCCATGCTGGCCTGCATCCAACTAGAGCAAGATGGTTCCCACGTGCGGAAGCCGGCCCCCAACAATTCCCACCCGAGAGCTATGTTGCCATAGCAACACCCCAGCCAGAGCAGGAACCAGAGCCTATGCAGCTGGGAGCAGCCGGGCCTCGCATTCCAAGGGGAGATAGGGCCTACCGCCGCACTGCTGGACAATGCCTTTTCTGTGGACATAACGGCCATATGGCGCGGTCCTGCCCTTTGAAAAAGCAGGCAGGAAACTTCCAGTCCCAACATCGTTAAGCACCATGACACTGGGACCCTCCCACACATCACAAGGGTGCCAGTACCTGGGAAAGGCTTCCACAGCTCAACACCTCCTGCTGGATATCTCAATCCATGCACACCTACAACCTGCAATTCGAGCCACAGCACTGATCGATAGTGGCACCAGTGCTTCCTTCACGGATGAGGAATTTGCTCAAAAGCACTGTTTCCCTACTTCAACACTAGCAACCCCATTCCAGGTGGACTCCATCCAAAAACGTCCCCTGCAAGGAGGCCCCTCCTTTCTCCAATCTTCTCCACTCACCCTGCAAATTGGGAAACGCTGCGAACAAACAGCTTTCCTACTAGTGAAGGACCTACAATACCCTGTAGTACTGGGCATGGACTGGTTAATCAAACACAGACCTCAAATATCTTGGGACTCAGGGCAAATACACTTCAACTCTAACTTTTGCTCACAACACTGTAATAGCCCTACATCCCAATTACCTCCCACCTCCTCCCCTCCCTCTACCACTGCACTTCCCCCACAATATCAAGACTTCTGGGATGTTTTTGACCCTCAAGAGGCTAACAAACTACCACTGCATCGCTCATGTGACATGGAGATTCACATACAACCAGGAGCAACCCTCCCAGTTGGCAAACTACGACCCATGTCAGCTAAGGAACTCCAAGTCATCAAAGACTTCATATCCACCAATTTAAAAAAAGGTTTCATACGCCCTTCCTCGTCACCCACTTCAGCAATGCCTATCATTGTACCTCAGAAGAATTCTGAGGAACCTAGGGTTTGCATCGACTACTGCCGCCTAAACGCAATTACCGTTCCAAATAGGCACACCACGCCACTCATCTCGGAGATTTTGGAACGTCTAGGCCAAGCACGCATTTTTACCAAGCTAGACCTTCGCAATGCCTACAATTTACTGCGCGTACGCCCTGGCTTTGAGCATCTTATGGCCTTCTCAACGAGATTTGGCACCTTTGAGTTTCGCATAACGCCGTTTGGTCTTTTAAATTCAGGACAATCGTTTTGCAGACTGATAAATGAAATCTTCCATGATTCCTTGATGATTTCTTCATTGCCTACCTGGATGATTTATTGATCTTCTCTAATGACCCTGAATCTCATGTTCACCACGTACAAGCCGTCCTCCAGCGCATGCGAGAACACCACCTCTCCGCCAAGCTAGAGAAAAGTGAATTTCACATGTCTTCTCTTGTATACTTGGGCTACCGCATTTCCCCGGACAGGCTACAGATGGATTTGGAGAAAATACGAGCAGTACTATCCTGGCAACCCCCTCGAACAAAGAGAGAACTTCAAAAGTTCTTGGGTTTTGCGAACTTCTATCACTGATTCATACCACACTTCTCTCGTCTAACTGCACCTTTGACTGACCTCTTGAAGGACAAGGGGCGCCACCTCAATTGGCCACCCAACGCTGCAGCTGCCTTTATCTCCTTGAAACACCGATTCACTTCAGAACACCAACTGATCCATCCAGATACTTCTGCACCTTTCATGCTACAGACTGATGCTTCTGACAAAGCCATTGGAGCTGTTCTCTTGCAATCGATAAATACATCCACCAATAACCTCAGACCGGTGGCTTTCTATTCCCGCAAGCTGTCCAACTCAGAACGTAACCACACAATCTGGGAAAAAGAACTGCTAGTGATCAAAGCTGCTCTCGAAGAATGGCGACATTTACTTGAGGGCTCTCCTCACAAGATCCTCATCCAAATGGATCACAAGAATCTTGTCCATTTCACTTCTGCCAAAATCCTTAACCAAAGACAAGCACGATGGGCTCTGTTAGTCTCCCGTTTTCACTTTCAAATCGACTATATACCCCCTTCGAAAAACCTTCTGGCTGATGCACTATCCAGAAAACCTGAATACTTCCCTGACAACGAGGAACAACCCAAACCTACCCCTATCTTGCAACCTGAAATTGCATCCGCAACCTCCATCTCTTCTTCATACAGCGATGACATCTGACACGCACAACGAGCCGACCCCTTTGTACGCATGAAGAAAGACCAAGGAAGGAACAACTCCCTTCCTAACCCCTTTTTGTTTGAGGATGACATCCTACTCTACAATCGTGTCCCTTATGTTCCAGTTTCACTTCATGAACAAATACTGCAACAGGAGTCAGGCAGAAAGGCCGGCAGGAGCAAGAACTTGGGGCAAGACAAGTTGGAAGCAATAATGCAGAGTAGGCACATGATGGCTCATGCTGCTGCAGCAAAATGGAACAGTGCAGGGAAGCTGTACCTGTAATTAAATAAAATGAAAAAAGAATAGTTGATAGCTAATGCCCTCTAAAAGAGAGGTCCGCCTGGCGCCGTTGTTATTTGTTTTTCAGTGCCAGGCGAAGACCTTTTTATTTAAGCAGCATTTTAAATGTTAATACTATTGAATTTTATTTGGCCAGGGCGGCTTATTTTATTCTAATGTATATATTTTAATTGTTATTGTCTTAATTTATTGTTGTGAGCCGCCCCGAGGCTTCGGCGAATGGGGCGGCATAAAAATGTTTTAATGAATAAACAAACAAATAAATAAATAAACTTTAACTTTTTCCAAATTCCAAGTAGATGTTTCAAGATAATAATGTTGTTTAACTATTTTATTATTAAAAAATTCTGTTTGAATAGAATAGAATCCCATTTTGGATTGCTCACTCTGATATTTGATTTTATATGTATTTTAATGGAAGGATGGGTGAGTAGTAGCCCATTCTTTTCAGCATCTGATCACCTTATAGTGTAGTCAGGATCTGATGTCTGGGGCTCACTTAAAAGCTTACTTTTCTTTAGAGATATCCTTTTTATTTATAAATGTATTGGTTTTAAATACTGTCAACATAACAAGGGTGGAGTTAACCATTGTGAGGTTACAGCTCATAACTGTAAAGCAATTGCTATGAGGAGAAGAATGCAGGTACAGTCAGGTACAGCACCCAAAGGGTTGAAACATAAACATTAGTGAAAGCAGCTCAGACATCCAAATAAGTGTAGCACTGATAATCAACTGAATTATGAAGTGTGGAAAAGGAATTAAGATCCTCTTTCCATTTGTGAAATGAAAGCAGGGATTTGTTCACCCAGTGTTGGAATATGAGTCATAGTGCTTACAAAATCCATTTGTTTGTTAGCTATTTGACAATTTGCAAAGCACAGGAATATAACTGAGGATTATAGAGACAGCTGTGAATTTTAGTGATGTCTCTAATGGCATCACCAGCACTTAGTGGCATAATAGTAGATACTTCTGGTTTACGAAGAGTGCTTCAACAAGACTTCTAGAAACCTTGTAATGTAATATTTATTAGACGTTAAACAATTAAATCTCATTTAGTGGATGGCACTAATGCTTTCATATGTGCCTTCCATCACCAGATGTTTTTCACATCCTGAAACTTACTTTCATGTATTCGCAGGATTTGGCATGGCAGTGCTTTTGGAATATCCCCAGGAGAGTCATTCTGTTAGCAGGCAGATTCCATTCAAGAAGGTGGCTTTGCCTGACTTCTCCTCATAGACCCCCAGGGCTGACCCCATTTAGGAGGGTCCCTTGTTTAGGGGGTTGCCAAGGGAAGGGGGGGGGGACATGGGATATATTTTAACTCCCTTCTGTCAATGACTTATTGGATACTTTTATTAATGTTTATCTGTAGGGATTGTATCCATTATTGTCAAAATGAAGAATTCAAAGCTAGAAAGCTCAGACTGTGAAGAAGAGGAATTGAATGTATTGCTGAAATGCAATGGTTAATGAGTGAGATAAGCCAAGCAGCTGGTGAGAACCAGACTACCTCTGGTTCTCAGGGAGACACTAGAACAAGGACAGTCAGTGTGGAGATATTTGAGTTCATCAACCCAGTGGGCTTATTTATTTATTTATTTAACCTTATACAACTGAAGCTCTATGGGAAGGGAACAAGAATAAAAATACAATAAAGATAAAGCAATAAAACCTCATGAAATTACATTAAAATTACAGCCCAACTGAAACCACTTTTTTATATTTAAGTAGCTGAAACTAGGCAATACTGCTAGACTTGCAGAAAAACAACTGACAATACCCACTCCACCCACATGTGCTTTTTGGAGTTGGTAAATGCCTTAGCAAGGAGGGCAATCTGAACCTGGCACCAAAAAGATACTCCTTGATTCCATATTTTGTGGCCTAGCACAGAAAAAGCTTTCTTCCTTGTTACTCCCAGCTGAACATCTTTTGGAGGTGGTATTTGGAATAAGGCATCAGATGCTGAATGTAGTGTCTAGCTACATTGTGGTCGGAAGAAATATTCCTTCAGGTTTTACAGTCCAAAGCCATGGAGGGCTATATATGTTAGAACAAGCAACTATATATATGGAAATATATATAGGCAGCCAATGCAAATGGAAAGAACAGGAGTTATATGTTTGGACTGCCTGGTCTTCAAGGGCAGCCTCATGTAGAAAGCATTGCAGCAATCTAGTTTAGGATTTACCAGACATTACTGACGCCCATGCTATCCTTATCCACCAGCTCAATATGGTAAAAGGAACTCTGTGCTATTGAGGCTACCCGAGCCACAAGTGACAAAGATTGATCAAGGAGTACTAAAGCTATGCATCTGCTTGTTTAAGGGAGTGTGACAGCATCTAGAACGGGTTGAGCACCCTCTATTCAGTCAGAGGAACCACCTACCAACTGCATCTCAGTCTTGTTTGGATTAAACTTCAGTTTGTTAGCTCTCTTCCAGGCCATTATTGCAGCTAACCTCACCTGCTGAAGATGAAAAGGAGAAATAGAGCTGTGTGTCATCAATATACTGATGGCAATTCTCTCCAAAACTTCAGAAAAACCCACTCAGCAGTTAAATAGCAAGGAAGACAAGACTGACCCCTGAGGAATCCCATACTAGAGAACCCCAACTGATATAAATCTGAGCCATCCCACCTATGATGGCCTTTGTGTGGATGTTAATGTTCCCCAAGGCCAAGAGTCTTGGCAGGGGGATCTCAGCAACTAAGACCACCTCTGTCAGCCCAGGCAGGGAGTCTGTTAAACAGTAGGAGCTGACCCCCTTGATATCATCCACATTTGGATTGTTTTTTGCAAGGCATTGACACCTCTTGTTGGTACTCCAGGTAAGAGCCCAGCAGGCTAAAGTTGGCAATCAGCCCAGGGAGTGCTTGCTATTTTTTTTCCTTCTGCCCCTCTGATTCCCAACAGCAGGATCCATGATCTGTTCCCTTGGCCCAATATCAGATGCAAGCACTCCAAACTAGTAGTCAAACAGGGAGCCTGTGAAAATCTGGTGGAATTTTGTATGCTTCATGTAGTCAGTGTTTTCTACAGGAAAATATTTCTCTAAAAAGAGAATATTTCTTTGTTTCCATATATCCTATTTATTTGCTACTGTAAATGTGAAGGAGATTGCTTATTTATTTCATTTTTATACCACCCAATAGCTGAGGCCATCTGGTTAGGGTTAGGGTTAAAAATTAACATAAGATAATAAATCCACAGGAATTGCAATCTATTCAGAAAAGAAACAGAAGATCCTGACTTATCCTGTATTTCATGCATATTCTGATAGAATCTACTGTTCTTATTTTTACAGATTCTTGAAGCACTAGCAAAAAGTGATGAGCAATTTTTGCAAAACTGTAATAGTCTAAATAGTTTAAATGAAGCAATTCCCACTGACCTTCAGAGTAAATTCAGTACTATTTGCAATGAGAAAATGGAACACATTTGCAGAAGGATCACTAGCTACAAAAAGGTAAGGATCACAGATGCTTTGAAAATTGACTGCATTTTTGGAAGAAAGAAAAAAATAGTTGGAACTAAATGTGTGTAACTAAACTAAATGCAGATGCCTCTGCATCTATGTCCCCTCCACACTTCCTGTGTATTATCCCTTATTTCAAATTCTAGATGATAGAATTTCCAATTCAGGGAAATACCATCTTACACTCTCTAAAATGTTGTGATGCTCTCGCTCTCTCATATTCTCTTACCCTCTCTCTCTATGTATCATCTTATACTGAAAGAGATGGAGAAATATTGTAGTTACCTGTAATTCTTCATGACTAAGACTGCTAGGAAGAGATTTAAAAAATGGGCCTATAGCTCATGGAAACTCTTCTAAAATAGCATCACAAATTATTTCCCAGAGTAATCATTCTTACTAGATTGGTGATTAAAAAAAACACCATTCAAACCATCAGTGCAGCATGGAGAGTTCTAGAAATAAGTTAGATGGAGTTGTACCTGTATGTTCTTTTCATGTACCATATGCCTGGTTGCAAAACATAAATCAAGCAGCATTGTACTGAAGATGTTGCTTGCCAAGCCCTAAGCATCCAGAAAGAGACAGACTGGCACTGATTAGCTTGTTAAACATACGATTTAGCAAGGTCTTTGCTAAGGATCCAATTAAAGGAATATACTAGCTGAATTCAATGGATAAACTGTAGCCATATTCTTCAACCTGAAATGTAGCACTGGTATTCAGGGATTCACCTGAATGTCTGAGAACCAAAATTAAGTAGGGTGTGGGTATGTACATGGAAGCCTCGCCAGTGTCTCTGCATGTGACCCAGTTATGGGAAGCATTCTGAACACATTCAGCCGAATAGGATTAGAAATTCTCTTCATACCTTCATGCTGAGAGCATGTGGCATCTCTCTGTGTGGCCCCATCCTGCTAATCACTGTTAGGCCTTGTGTGTTCAAGTCAATACACTACAAGCAGTAGCATGGGAAACTATTCCTGATCTGGGAGATGGGCATGAAAGTGTTCTAATGTACACATGCATAAACATTAAGGAAGAAGGAAATAAAGGAAAAAGGCAGGGAGTGGAGAGAACTATTGGCCTCAAAGACTGTATTTTCTGGTATCATTCATGATGAATTAGACATTGGTTGAAGAAACAGTTATTGGTTTAGTTGCAAATAGGCTTGATCCTTTGTCTGGCATGGCTTCTGTGCAACTGGATTTTGAATCACAGGCAGAAATTTAACAGACAAAGCTTATCACTGCATCTACTGAATTTCTGCACAGGAACCTTACCAGATAACTATTTGTCTTACCACCAAATGATCCTATATGGGCTAGAATCCAAACAGATGTGTTAGTTACCTGATAGGATCAGCTAATTACTTATTTTTTCCGTCCTTCAACTTGCTTTCTGTGCATTTGATCCATTGGCAGAGTGCCTGGCCCACAAGTCAGAGAAGTTTTGCATTTTGTGTGATTTTGTATGTCTTAAGAAATTCAGCCTGGCATCCTGTATAAAGACAAGCCTGCATGCTTTGCATCTCTGGTTGGAATGGATGAAATTGTCTAAACAAGAAATTACATCATAGGTCATATACTCAGGTTAAGATTCAGCAATATGACTTAATCATGGTTCTTCATGGTGGAACTAAGTGCATTAATCAGAAGATAGGAATGAATACAACTCAGGTAAAGAGTCACATATCCCCACAATGTTGCAGAATTACTGCGAAGTATAATGGCTGATCCCCATGCTTATATACAGAAGTCCCTGCAAAATTCCAACTTGATTTGGACCGGAACCTCTGAGGTGTCAAAAGACTTTTCATTTAACTGAAAGATATTGATTACTTTGTAATAATAATAATGATACATTTTATTTCTATACCATCCAGTATCTGAAACTCTACCAAGTATTGTGTTCCAAGCCATGTTTAAGTGTTTTAATTTTTTAATCCTATAATTATATAGTGCTTGAGTGCCCATTGTTGATTTCCTGCTCCAGGTCCTGGTACCATGCAGTCATAGTGTATGCCAAGTCAGCTATTTCCATTTGCAGTCTCTCTGTTTCTGCTGAAATAACGCTCAAACACTGGAATACAGGGTTCTGCTGCAAAGCCTCATCAACCCTTTCTCCTATAATATCCAGTTTTGGCTGCCTAAGCCCTTGCTTTTCCTGACACTCCAGCCAAAATATGGCCCTTTCCAAGTCTCTCTTATCTTAAAAAGTGCAGCAGTTTGTTGCACCTAGTTTTGTCTTCAGGATGATCCAATAGGATCCCCGGAAAAATAGTTTTGAGCACTTCTCTATTTTTAAGGTCCCTTCCCTACAAATTTCAACCTCTACTTTGGAAAGAAAACAAAGAGGAATGGTGTGTACACGCCTCTGGAAATTGGTGTGACTGTTCTCAGTTTCACTGTCCCAATCAGCTTGTTTTGCTTTTTGCCATAGAAACAGAGTGAGTCAGAAGGGGCTCCTGAGCCATCTAGTCTGACCACCGGCTCCAGTCAGCTCCACTTGTGACATGTCTACCATGTGCATGTCCACCCTATCCTTAAACACCCTCACCCTTGCCTTAATAACTTTGTATATGTACACAGCAGTCATTTTGAAGAACTGCTTTGAGTCTTTCCCTTCCTGATCTCACCATTTTCCTTTCCCATTCCCTGTTCCTTCTTTCACTCCCTCTCCCAGAAAGCCACAAAATCCAGATTTACCCAGCCCTGAATTTTTCAGCCCCTCCTAAACTCTGAGCTCATTTAAGTTTCCCCTTTGTTCAATTTGACTGCAGTAACTTAGATGGGTATTTTAAATGCACCGTGAGGAATTCTGCTTAGACATTAAATTCTGCTTTTCATATATTTCCTTCTTACTGTAGAATAGTTTAATGCAGTGTCCAGGGACAAGAATAGCAGGATCATATTGTACATTGGCACAATCACAGGGGACAGTGTGCATAATTACTATAGCTTGTATGATCTTACTAGAAGCCCACACATTTAGAAACAGCTAAGACCTTTCTAGAATTCATAACCATGATGCATATTTGTCATCCCAGAAATGTTTACTGTTCTTGATGGGTGTTAGTAGCATGTTTTCTTCTAAGAATAGCTTTGCCTTTCTTTTAGGGAGGTAAATGTAACCATAGTAACAAAAGTATCTGAGAATGCTTTAGTTGTGCTGTTAGCTTCACTGTGAAAGTTTGAAATCTATAAATGGAAACCCAGTGGCTTCCTACAGTTCTTATCATTATCCCATTATTTCTAAAAGAAGTTTGATCCTAGCATAATAGTCCCAAGATTTTTCTAGCACATGCATGAAAAGAAATGTGGATCTTACTTATGACTTGATTAAATTATAACCAGGCATTTGGTCTCCATGGGAGACAATGTGTGGGAGATTTAAATGTGAAACATGTGTTGATGTTCTTGCTATTTAAATGTCTATACTGTACTTCTTGTACTAGTTTCTCATGTTTAAGGGCTTTTATATGTAGAAGTCTATTTAGAAATTTTATCAACACAACACAATATGTATACCTTTACAGTAACTTTCTTGTATGAATTTCACAGAAATCTATATTTTGTCAAAATCTATTAAAACTGGAGCTGTTTTCATTTAATTGTAAGTGCAGTAATACAGTCTAGCTATTGATAGGTCTGTAACTAACTACTTGCATTAGAATTGTTGCTAAGACTGCTAACAATTTAAAAGACTCCATTCTTAGGTGGTGACTATCTAAAATATATCTTTTGTTTCAATACTTTAAAAAATGCTGGTCAACTTAGCTGTTGGCATCATGAAAAGTTTGATTGGGCACTAAGGGGCACTTGTAACCACAACAGTTTGTATTATATAATACTGGGTAAATTTTCAATCTCGTAAATTGAGAAGCCTTCACTTGTCAGGAGCTAGGAAATGAGTGGCAGTAAACTGCATTTCTTATATTTCTTCCTTCTTACCATGCCATTTCAAATTAGTAACTTTGAGAGAGATTCCCTTTTTTACACTGAAATATTTTCAGTTCAAATGCCAGTCCTTGACTACTCAAATTTAAAGATACCTTCAAAGTGGACCAGGACAAAGGTTTCTTTGCATACTTGAGTAATCAGCAAGCAGAATTCTTTGGTGTTTGTCAGATGTGTTTCAACATCTTCTATATTAAATTTACATAAACTACTGAGCGGATTGAGGGCATACATTTTTAATTGCACAAAAGTGGTAGTTTGCTACATCTGCATTTGATTGGAGAATGGCAGGGAAAATCATTACTGACCCACATCAGTCCTGATGTCATCTCCTATATTGAGAGTACATTTTAAGCCACTGGGAATGGTTCATGCTTATCTATGTTGCACTGAAAATAGTTAGACAAATGATTCACACATCTGCAGTTGCTGTATCTATATAAAAATTGATGGCATCTTTAACTCATCATAAACTATCAAAGTGTGAGCAAAAATCTAACCCTAGAACAGACAGGTAAGGGTCTGTTTTGTAATACTAATGACAAAGTGATAATGCAGGTTTTTCCTTCTTTTTATCCTTTAATGGCAAGCCCAATTATGCTGATGAAGACATATTTTCTCACAGCTAAAAAAGTAATACTATGAATATAATTGTATTTAAAGCATTAAAATACATATTTCAAGTTGTATGTTTTGAAAGTAATATATATTCCCTCTCCTCCTCATTGCAGTTTTCACGGGTCTTGAAAAATCGAGCTTGGCCTACCTTCAAGCAAGCAAAGTCAAAGATCTCACCACTGCACAGCAGTGATTTCTGTCCAACCAATTGTCATATAAATGTGATGGAAGTTTCATATCCTAAAACTTCAACATCACTTGGCAGTGCCTTTGGTGTTCAGCTGGACAGCAGAAAACATCTTTCACAAGAAAAGGAAAACAAACACATAGACCAAGGTAAGCTTCAAGATCTGATCTCTGTCCCAGCACAACTCCAACAGCATTTACTCTGTTTGAGAATTAGAACTCTATATTCAATCTCACATTAGTGAGCCAAGGAAGGGATGCCAGGAAGGTTCCATGGAGGTCTACAAGTTTTGGCTGGCAAAGCCACATATTGTGGTTGCTAGCCTTTAGCATCTCATTCCATCTTCCATCCCTATTGGTGTTTTCCACAGGAAAGGTGGAAAGGAGTAAGTATATAGGACTGGTCATTTGTGCCTGAAGATGACTGAGCATTTTCCAGAAAAGGTATCCAACACCTTTATCATTCTTCTCAAGGGAAGAGCAGGTGGGAAGACTCATTGGTTGGGCACAGTTCCTTAAATGTGCCCCAAGCAATGCTGTCCTGTGACTTCTTACCCACCTATTTGCCTTTCTTGCTCTGGAACAGGTGTGTGTATGTATGTGTTTTTTAGTGATTGGGAGACATTGCATTTGGCTTTGCATGCCCAAGTCTCTACATATGCCTTGACTGCATAGCTGCCGAATAATTTCTAGCCTTTTTCCCAACTGGAGAGGTGTCAGGGATCTCTGTGCTACTGCCCGGAAGATCTTCATCCACCTCCGCACCTTCAAAGTTTAGCCTCTTGCAACACTTGCCACAGGACATCACCACACTTGCTGTGGTGAATGTGGCACGCAGCATTATTGAGATCCTTTCCTCGATCAATGACCTGAAGCTTGCTCCATTTCCCCCCTTTTAAATCAGTGGGTTTTATTCCCTCCAAGGCAGAAGAACAAAGCATTGCACTTGAGAAAACATTATGTTGAGGGGAAAAATGCTTTCCATGTGAGGCTGCTGCTGGTGGTGATGGGTGGTTGGATGAATATCTGATACTTCCCACCACACGCACAAATACCAACCTGTCATGATTAGGACTACATCCAATGACTTTGCATTTTGATTTGAGTCCAAAGTAGAACTTTCAAGGTAGTGTGAAAGGTTTCCTGAATCAATTCTTATATGTGGTAATGCTTGTGTCTTGACCATATTCATTGGTATTTGTCTGTCCAATAAGCTACTGCTTCTTTGCCAATTTACTTAACGGTTAGTGCTTCTCCCATTATTAATAGATTCTAGTCTATCAGTGGTCATCATTCACACTGTAAAGTGAATCAGATTTGGCTACGTGTTCAGTCACTAAGGTTAAATGCAACCTGTTCAAAGTGAGGGTTGTCCTTCTTGACTGGGTGAAACATTTTGTTTCCTTTTAAACCAATCACTTGAAAGAAGGACACACTTTGATGTTGGCACTTTTTATTTTTTTGGTGAAAACTATTCTTTTCAGCTCAGAACAAGACTTGGTCAGATTTTTTTGACAATACATATTAACAATCAGTTAAGCACTGGAAGAATTTGCAAAAACCAACATTTTTTCAATGCTTTCATTGTTCAACTATATTTATTATGATGCTTGAATAACAGAAAATGTGAATAGAATGCAGATAGTATAAAAATATTTAAATACTCGTCTATACTTGATTGTATTGCAAATCTATCACATACCAAGTGTGTGCAAACTCAAATTTCTTTTAACTCAGTATGATTATTAACTGGATTAAAAAAAATGCTACCTGGTATGTTTTGAAAATAATTGAACTACAACCATCAGCATACCTAATAAGCTATCTATGCATTTTTTTATTTGCATTATGCTCAGGTAAAGTGAGTCCCATGGTTTATATACAACATACAATTACCACCATGGCAGCTCCATCAGGACATTCCTTAGGTCAACAGGAGGGGCATGGTTTGAGATACCTATTAAAAGAAGAGGATCTGGAAACACAAGATGTCTATCAGAAACTCTTATGCAAATTGCAAGCGGCATTAAAAGAGGTGGAAAACTGTGTTTCTCAAATAGATGAGTAAGTAAATATATGAAATATGTCCTTAGGAATCTTGATTATTAGTATATACATTTGTTATTTAGACATATATAAGAAAGCCAGTGTGGTGTGATGGTTAGAGACTTAGGGACCTAGGAAATCTTGTTCTGGTTCCTGCTTGACCATGAAGCTCATTGGGTGTCCCTAAAATCTGCCCTTGTACAAGAGGATTGGAGAACAGCCAATTTTTAAAAAAGGGATCCAGGGGGGATCTGGGGGAGATTACAGGCATGTTTGCTTAACATATATGCTGGGTGAGCTGTTTGAAAGCATTATTAAGGATAGAATCAATGACAGAAACAATAAAGGAACAAGCCCTGCTGAAAAGAATCAACATGGCTTCTGCAAAGGTAAGTCCTGTCTCACTAACCTATCAGAGTTCATTAAGGGTGCAAAGACGCACGTGGGCAAGGCAATCTACAAGCCTTTGTTTACTTGCACTTCCAATAGACTTTTGACAAGGGAGAGACATGATAGAGGTGCTCAACATTATGCCTAGTGTGGAAAAAGTGGAGAGGGATAAAATCTTCTCCCTACCATGATACTAGAACTTGAGTCATGCCATGAAGCTGTTTGATGGGAGGTTTAGGACTGATAAAATGGAGTACTTCTTAGTTAAATTGTAAAATTTGCTGCCATGCATATTTAATTGCATATTTTTTGAAAGGAGTAAAATTTCAAAATATTTAATTAATTTAATATGATAGATGAAAAATACTACAGCATAAACTTCATGAAGGTGAAACATGGCTAACTACAGCACAAACCAGGAAAAATATTATGAATGGTGTCAAATCATTAATCTCCTTTGATCAATGTTTTCATTTGAGTGTCATTTGATATTTCAGTAAATTCCTACTGATTAAGCTGTCACTGATACTGCTTTTTTGTTCTCAGGTGTATACATGAATATCATGTTATATCAGTCACTTTTTCCTATTTTTTCATGCTTAAATATATAAACTATAAGAATAGATAAAGTCTGTCAGTCACATAGTTCCAAGTGGTAATAGTGCACAGTATAATCTTACAGTTCATTAATTCATATAGACCATATATTAAAATATTAAGATAAATAAAATTGCTGTGATTTCTAGAGAAACCATGTAATATGCATGCTGAAATATTGTATAACTTAAGGTACAGTGCTATGCATGTTAAGGAAGAAAAGGATGTTTTTGTCTAAGAATGGAAGGGATTTCCCATTTAATTCTACCCTTAATTAGTCACTGTTAGGTTTTTCTTACAAAATGCAAAAAACTCTCTTAAAAGTAGTCACATATTTTGCAAGTAAATCAGGTGATAAATGTTTATCTCTAGGGCTTGTTTTTTTTTCCTCCATGAATATGAAACAGTACTTTGTGCAATGTATTATTTCCCATCAGTTTTTCCACCCAGCATACTAAGTATTGTGGATTCAGTATCAACATTCATTCATTCATTCATTCATTCATTCATTCATTTATAAAATTTGTATGCCATTCAATTACTTGCGTGTCTGGATGGCTTACAGCATAAATAAATTGACAACCCACTCTGGCTGCAAGTTAATAAAAATGCAAGAGTAAAATTCAATATTAAGACATATTAAAATATTGATTAAATAAAAAGGTCTTAACCTGGCACCGAAAAACATATAATGATGGTGCCAGGCGGACCTCTCTGGGGAGTGCATTCCATAGTCGAGGCGCCACTGCAGAGAAGTCCCTCCTCCGGGTACTCTGTCTCCTAACATGTTTCACACAGGGTTCCTGGAGGAGGGCTTCTGTTGCCGATCTCAGGGGGCGGGAAGACAAATAGGAAAAAATGTGTTCCTTTATGTATCCTGGTCCCAAGCTGTTTAGGGCTTTATAGGTAATAACCAGCACCTTGAATTGAGCCTGGACTTCGATGGGAAGCCAATGGAGATGATAAAGGATTGGGGTTATATGAGAATAACGCCCAGTCCCCGACAGCATCCTGGTAGCTCTATTTTGCACCATCTGAAGTATCTGGACTGTCTTCAAGGGCAGCCCCACATAAAGCACGTTACAGAAATCCAACTGGGAAGTAACCAATGCGTGTGTTGCTAGGCAATCCTTCTCCAGGTAGGGATGCAGCTGACAGATTAGCTGAAGCTGAAGGAAAGTGCTCCTCGCCACCGCTCTCACTTGGGCTTCCAAGGACAGCTCTGGGTCGAGGAGCACTCCCAAGCTGCGGACCCTGTCCTTTATAGGGAGTGCAACCCCATCCAGGGCAAGGCCCAAGTCACCTACCCAGGAGCTCAAATCACCCACCAACAGAACCTCTGTCTTATCTGGATTGACCTTCAGTTTATTGGCTGTCATCCAGCCCATTACCTTGGCCTGGCACAGGTTCAGTACAGCCACCGCCTCACTTCGAACAGATGTAAATGAGAAGTAGAGCTGGGTGTCATCAGCATACTGATGACTCCGCAGCCCAAACCTCCTGATGACCTCTCCCAGCGGTTTCATGTAGATGTTAAATAGCAAAGGGGACAAAATGGAATCCTGCAGTACTCCATGGCAAAGTTGCTATGGCGCAGAGCCATAGTCCCCCAGCACCACCTTCTGGAATCGGCCATCAAGGTAGGAGTGGAACCACTGCCAAGCAGTGCCTCCTACTCCCAGTCCTGCCAGCCTATCCAGGAGGATACCATGGTTGATGGTATCGAAAGCCACTGAGAGGTCCAGGAGAACCAACAGGGACACACTCCCCGTCTCCCTACACAGGTCATCGTACAGGGTGACCAAGGCAGATTCAGTACTGTACCCGGATCTGAAGCCGGACTGAAATGGGTCCAGATAATCAGTATCATCCAAGAGTACCTGGAGTTGTCCCGCCACCACCCGTTCATTTGTAGTGGTGGCAGGACACCATTTGTAGCAATGCATAGATTCATGTGCACTAATAAAATGTATTTTATATTTCTCTTGGATATTTTCTACTGCTGCTTTTGTGAAATAGTGATAAACATTCTTTTTGTGCTGTTGATGACAAGGAATCATAAAAATCTGAACGTGGCAGCTGAGAGAAGGCATTTGTAGTTTGAGCCCTTTCTGTTGCTGCTTATTTCTGCTTGTGCTTATGTTGCACTTGTTACTATGTCTACACATTTTTAATCACCTTAGTGGAAGACGCTAAAATGTTCAATTACAGTAAAGCTATTGCTAAATCTTTAAATCTGACAAAATTACATCCCTTTCATTAATTGAAACAACATCAGTTTCCTTTCTTTATGATACCACAGTTTCTTTTTGTGGTGAGTTCAAGTAGTTGAGGCATACTTACTGCATTATAAGATATATGACAATTGTTTTCCTGCTGTCTTCACAGTTACCCCTTGTTCTGTAAGAGTATATGCTCCCTCCAGTAACTGAGGCCATGTTACTCTGTTTTCCAGTTACTGGTAACCATGAATGGTAGAATGCTATTGCAGTTATGTATAACTTGTGAATTGGCCACTGTGTCAACAGAATGCTGAACTAGATGGAGGTTTGTTCTGATCTAGCATGGCTCTTCTTACACTCTTATGGCATGAAATAGCCTTGTGCTAGCCCTGGGATCTTTACGCTACAATTTGTGTGCATCAGGAGCCACTTTTCTCCCTGTTACATAGTTGAAAGAACACTCTGATTCCTTCCTGGAAGACAGGAATACAAATGATTTTAGTTATGTTGTCTGTATTACCTTCAACATCAAAAGCAGTATGATTCTGAATACCAGTTGCTTGGAAATGTGCAGGAGGTTGTCCCTACTGGAGGCTTCTCGTAGGCATTTGGTTTGATCATTGATCATTGTGGTAACAGAATATTGGACTAGGAAGGCCCTTCTCAATTGCCTACCTCTCAATACAATTTGGTGGGTCACCATATGAGAGAAGGCCTTTTCTGAAGTGACCCCACACCTCTGGAATTAAGTTGTCATCAGGGGTCTGCCAGGCCCTGTCATTATGGGCTTGTAAGAAAGCCTTGAAAACTTGAAATTCTACTTTGATTTTCCCTAGATTATGTATACTCAGATTAAGTTGTAGTTTCAGTTGACTGTTGTAAGATTTATTTTATGGTCGTATTTGCTATTGATGCTTTATTGTGTTTTTACTGTTTTTATACTGCATCAGTTTTATTTATTTATTACTATTGTACACCACCTTGGGAGGATTCCTGTTCTAAAGGTCAGCCAATAAATATTTTATATAAATATAAATTAAATATCCTGATTGATCCAGGACAGTTCCTTGTTCTGTTTTGTTTGAAAAGGTTATATAAGGCCAGCATTGACTGGGATTGAAATGATATAAAACAATATTTAGTGGCTTAACAGTTAGGTTTTGTTTGTGCTGAAATGTGGAAGTTTTTCAAATTGGCTGGATCTTGGGATTTTTCATCTCCTGAAGTATATTAAGGAAATTTGCTTGTATGAATTACCTGGGTTTTAGTTACTAATGACACAATCCTATGCATGTTTAGACTAAAACAATAATAAGCCATACAAATCCCAGCATACCCCAGCACGCAAGCCTGGTAAGGAATAGGATTGGAGTAAGATTTTTGGATACCTGCAGATAATTTCACTTTAACATTATTTTATCCAATTTATTTTTGTTAACTTTGCCGTTCTAAGTATATACTTAATACACAAGGTGTCTTGTACTTTGATCATCAAATTACAAGAAGGCCAAAACTAAAAATATCCAGGGTAGAGTACAGTTGATATATCCTGAAAGAAAGTTAGAGGAATTAAGACAGAAAGTAGAGATAAAAGATTCATTTTGTAAGGTTGAAAATGTAAAGCCAGCAAATCACTCAGTCCATATGGTATCTGCCTTAAAGTTCTCAAAGTACTCAAACATGAAATTTCTGACCTTCTTCCCAAAATATTTAATATACCCTGAAATCAGCCCTTGTACCAGATGACTGGAGAATGACCAATGTAACTCAATTGTAAAAAAGGATCCAGGGAATTATGGGCTAGTTAGC